TTTCTAAGGACAAAAACTTCGAAAATATTTTAAAGTTAAAACAATTTAAAAGTAATAGAAAGTTCAAACAACTTCAGAAATTTTCTACCAACAACACATCCGAATTTTTCAAAGTTCTGAAATTCTTCAAATTCCAATCAAGTTAAAAATTTATAACTACCAGGGTACAGTATTTACAAACTAAAAAACTTTTCCTTGTTCGCACAACTTCAAGGTATTTCTAAGTACTAAAATCTTTAAAACTTTTCTAACTCAAAATAATTTGAAAGTTATTCAAAGTACAAAGAGCTTCTGAAATTTTCTAAGTACCAATAACATCGGAATCTTTCTAAGTACATACATTATGAAAATTTTCCTAACTGCAAATTAGCAATCAATCTGAAGAGTTTCGGAACACAGGTGCTTAAAAACGAGACATAGTTATCGAAAACTTTAGTTACTGAGTGACGATATTGGCTTACTTAACTTTCTTAGGGTAATGTCAAAGACGCTAGTATTTTACCGATATTTTCAAAAACTGTCTTAATCAAACGAGTTTTAACTGAAAAATATTATTGAATAATAATTACACTATATTACTGATAATGAGTAGACAAATCCATCAAGATTTTTCGAACTCATAAACCATTTTATTCAACTGATTATGTATAGTTATCTCTTAGAATGATTATTACATATTTACTACATCGACTAATTAAATACAAATATTCTAACAAATAAACTATTTTATCAGTTTTGAATTATTAGACATATCATTTAAAATTGGTAAAAATGTAATCTCTAAAGAAGGGTTCGTTTAGAAATTAATTTTATTATGCTATAATGAGAAAATAATGATTTGCACATTAATTTAAGTAATAAAAACATAATAAAAATATACTCGCTTGCGGAAAATTTCGAAGTCCCGAAAATAAAAATAATTCTTCCACTTTCTGAAGATGAGATGAAAAAATAAAAAAAAACCATCTTCCTTCTGATAAAACCTTATCTACAGAGGGACAGAGGGGATCTCACAATCTCAGAAAAACCTCTGTCTTCATGGTTATTGAACTAGGACCGGAGCCCCATGAGTATACCACCACACCGATAAGATTAGAGGTCATTGAACTGGGGCCAAAGCCCCAATTTTCCACTACTCATAGGTATTTTTTTTTTCCATATTTTGTTTTACGACTTTTTTATTTATTTATTTATTTTTTAAAAAAAATTTAAGAATATTTTGAAAGAATGTTTTATTTATAAATATTTTTTCTTCTTCTGGTGGAAAATATATTATTTTTCCATGTCTGCTTCGTAATTTTAGCTTACTTTATGGTTTCTATAAAGTTGCAGTTTATACAATGAAAATAAAACTTATTACTTTCAATTTTTTTTTAATATTTTCGTCAATCTCTCTTTTCTTTTATTCTTTTTTGTATTTATTGTGTTACATATTTTTAGTGATCATATTCAATGCTGCTTTAGCTCTTATTTATAATTAACTTACTTTCGTTTGCGTCTTGTTTACATTTTTGCTTCGTTTTTTCTAATTTTGTGTGTTATGGAACGAAATTAGCCTATTGTTATATAATTATACAACACTATTAATTTAGTGCTTGGTGAAAAATGTGTTTTATATATTAATTTATCTACCCATTGCATTGTTGTATACATTACAAACAGCCTAATTCAGAGGGGACTTCGGATCAACAATTTGTTACTGTAAGAACAAAAGATTTTTCGAAGTTCATTTAATACAAGAAATTTCACCGTCCTAAGAAGTGAGTGACAGTATTTACAAAAAACATGCAATTCAAAACAACGATAGTTGTAAATCAGTTTGAAAAATAAATAATGAAATTTATATGTAAGCCTGTGGTTTTTGCAATATGATGGACAAGAAAGTAAGTTTCTTAACATTAGAATTAATCAACATCGTTCAGATATAAACAGTAAAAAAATTATCAATAACCTAAAATTGAATCGCTTCAGAGTACATAACTTTAACAACGTTAGAAATAATATTCCAGATATTTTAGAAGATATTGATTTAAGACTACAAAAAGAAAATTACTACATACTTTTATACAAAATAATTTTGCTGCATGATCTAAACGATACATTCCAACACACACAGATTAACTTTAATAACTCAGCTTATTCTTTTTTTTTTTCACACTGAAGATAAGCGTACAATTCAAGCTAATCGGAGATAAATATGAAATAAAAATTCTCACTTAATAGTGACAAATTAAGCGTAAATTTTATTTTTAGCAAGGAAAAAGATTTTACTGAACAATACAACAGTAAACCAATAAAAGATTTTATTCCCTAGATAACGATAGCTTCAAGATCTTATTAACAGTATTTTTTTACAAATTTGCACTTCAAAATTCTTTGTTTCGTTCCTGTGATAGGCAAAATGAGTAAATTTTAGCAAATAAAAATAATAAATAACTAATATTTTGTTATTAGCTTTCAAAACCCTATTTTCGATATGATTGAATTTCGTATTGTGTTTGAAAACGTAAAAAATCTGTTTCTATTAACAGATTTTAACATAAAATAAGCTATAAGTATAATAAAATTCTTGGAAGAACTATTTTTAATGAAAATTATATTAGCAAAATGAAGGGAAAATTAATGTATCCAATTCTGAATGTCACTGCGAAGAGGAAAAATAATTTTAATTTGCTTATAATACTGGTAATACTGCATATTAATACTGGTAATTTAAGTTTTTTAAAAAGCTTAGAACTAAGAAATTTATTATCAAAAAGCACAAAATTTAGACCATTTACAATATATCAACTAATAAAATGCATTCTTAATGATCTCAATAACATTTGCTTAAAGATATCAAATGATTCTCTTTACCTTTAGGTATGCTAACGGAATGGAAATGGTCCGTTTATTATTACTTTAAAAAATTTGTTTTCAATAATAAGGGGAATTTAAAAAATAGTAACAGTTCGAAAATTTTTAAGAAAATTTTTCAATCAATTAAGCAACTACAAAAGAATTTTATAATTACCCCCATAGACAAAGCTAACAATAATTATGTAATCTTCTGTAAAACATTCTGTTGCACCTTTAATTACGGAGTTAAAAATAGTAAAAAAAATTAAGCTTAGTAATTTAAATAATAATATTATCATTAAAAAATTTAGCTTTCTATAAAAGGATAAAAATACAATATTAATACTATACGATTTCCATACTTAATTATCCGTCCAAAACTTCATAATATTCCTATTGAATTTAGAACAATCACTTGGGGGTCTAATACTTACCTAACTAAACCTGGCACCCTTTCCTCTAACTACTTAAATAAAATTATTAACAATATTTTTAAAGAAGGTTTTTCATGGATTATCACTAATAATCAACCTATATTAGTATGAAGAAGGAGGATTCAGGGTGTCATTTATGTTGAGATGGTGGAATATTAAGGTGTGGGTGGAAGCTTGTATAGTGTATATGTATAGTGTATATGTATAGTGCTTGTATAGTGGACTAGTTGAAGATTGATGCTGAAATCAGGAGATGATGAAAATAATATAGAGAAAAAAATATGTATATATATATTTTTTTTTTAAATTAATGGATCTCCCCCATGTTACAAAATAATGTTATGCTCTGAAACATAACATATCCATGGAACGTATAATATACACTTATGTATAGTTAAATATTAAAGCAAAGTTATTATTCAACAAAATTTTAGAACAAGTTATAATTCTAACATATATTTTCAATACTTATGTTATTAAATCTTATGTTGATGTAAAATTAGCTGAGCATTGTCATCACCTGGTCAGGATACTCTAATTTCTCTCGAATTTGAGAAAAGTTTAGCATAACAAACAGCATAATTTGCAAAATCATTTCATTTACCAAATATTTCTTCTTTTTTTTTTGTCATTAATACTTTTCCACATTGACATACCTATACAAATCAAAATATTTAAACATATAAGTGCAATTTATCATATCATATTCTATATTTCTTATCATAAGTTAATAAAATGTTTGTTAATATCAAATGTCTATAAGTGTCAATAAAATTCTTTAGTTTATTATTAAAAACATACTGAGCAGAGCATATCATTCAAAAAAATATGAGCTTTTATTTTAGCTCTAAACAAACAGTTGATCAGACTGTTATTTTATTTACCTAGGTTTAGTCATCCCTTTTTCATAAGGGGCAAAATTATCATCTCTTATATTTCAAGAGGCAAAATTATCTCTTTTGTTTCAGAGACAAAATTATCTAAAAATGCAGCTATATATCTATATTTTTATTTAACATTTTTTTTTAACCTTTGAACTTACTAATATGATCTAGGAAACATGTGATCAGGATTCCAACCTGAATTTTTGTGACACAATGTATTAACAATTATACTATCACAGCTATCTAGTATTAAATTCAAGGTAAAATAATTTTATAGTTTTTTTTTTTTAT